GCTTTAAGGTCCCTTCCAGCACAAACCAGTTGGTGACTGTAGATGGCACGGACCCAGCCCGATGGACTGCTGCGTGGTGGTGCAGTGCTGCCTGTACCAGCCAAGTCTGATTGTCCTGGTGTGGGGCTGGTGTCATGCTTACCGCAGGGAGGGCTCTTTGGCTGTGTTGTGTGTGCTGGTTTGTGTTGCTAGTGGCAGCCTGGAGGGCTTGGTCAGCCTTCCATGGACGGGAATGGAGCTCTGGCCCCTCCCATTGATAGGAACAAGTTCTCTAGAAAGCGGGCAGATTTAGAAGAGATTCCCACCACAACAAGTGTTTCTGAGGCTGTTTATCTTCGTGTAACTCCAGAGGCTGCAGAGAGGCTGTATCTTCATCTATAAGCTATGGCTTGTGCTTTGGGGTGTCCAGATTTGGAGGGGCAACTGGGCTCCAGAGCTATGCCCCAGCATTGCTGCTTGGTGGTGTTAGCTCTCACCACCCCTAAAAACAGGCTGTGCTGTGGATAGCAGCAGGGTCCTACTGTGTGGCAGTAGGGCAATGGGGAAGGGACATCAGTTGGTAGCACTGAGCTGGTGCGGGCAAAGCAAGGACCAGACCTTGCCATGGAGGTGATGGGTGCTGCTGGGAAGGCTGATCCTGGTTGCTTTGCTTTCCATTGGGCAGGAGAAGCTTTGTCATGGCTCCTTCATGAGGTCACCCAGTGGTTTTGGCTCAAAATGACCAGAAGTCCCCAATAAGGGTGGTGTGGCTTCATCCCACTCCATCCTGGCACCCATCCTCTGTTGGAGGGGGTCATTTCTGCAGCCTCATCCCTGTCTCCTGCAGATGCTTATAAGTGTCTGCCCTGGGATGACCTGCCCAGTGTCACTTACTCAGCTGACAGCAGAATTGGGTGCTTTAATCCCTCTCCATCTGCTTCCTATGTGACTTATTCCCTTTATTGCTGCAGGAGAGCACCAAATCAGCCTGTTTCTGTGGGCAGAGCTTTGATTGATAGAGCAGGAGGAAGATGTAGTAACTCAGAGGAAATTGCCTTGATTTTTCCTTCATTATGAAAGAAGCAGGAGGATGTTTTAATGTGCAGACATGGGACATGAGCACAATACAATCCCTTGTACCCCAGTTGTGCTGGGACGGTAGCGGGGAACTAATGGGACTTGGATCTCTCATTCCATGCAGGATGTGTGACCGCAACGGTGGCCGGCGGCTCCGGCAGTGGCTCATTGAGCAGATCGACAGCAAGCTCTACCCTGGGCTCATCTGGGAGAATGAGGAAAAAAACATGTTCCGCATCCCATGGAAACACGCTGGGAAGCAGGACTACAACCAGGAGGTGGATGCTTCTATTTTCAAGGTAGGGCCAGGTGATTAATGTGTTATCAACAGATCCTGAGCTCTGTACTGCTGCTTTTCCCTATGCTGACAGTGCTGCTGGTGGGAGATGTCCATGCTGTCTATAGGTTTTGCATTTCCAGCCATTGCAAGAGATGCTTCCCCGCACACATTAGTCTCCCAGTCTCTTTTGGGGGTGTTTATTCCTTTTTGCCAAATATTGACACCAGGTTTAGGTTTGTTTCCAGCCCTGATCTGACTCGAGGAGGAGCTGGATGTGCTTGTAGCCTGCTCTAAACTTCTTACCAGGATATTCTTGATAAAAGGCTGGATTTATGAAAAACTTTGCAGGAGGGAAGGAAGTTTTGGATTTCACTGAAGGGGGGATTTCCAGTTTTGGGGGAAAACTGGAAAATTCCATCCTGAACCGAAAAGGTCAGGCTCTTCCCCAGGAATTCCCTTCCCTCTGCCCCCAATTCCAAGTATCTGTACTGGTGAGCAAGTTCACTTTCATGGCAGTGACCATTGGTTAGCAGCTGGTTCAGGAGCACTGAGTTATGAGGATGACATTGAATTCAGGTATCTGAAAATACAGAAATATCTATTAAAAGTAAATATGTGTATAAAAAGAAAAACATTTGTCAATCTCCCTTCACTGGTAAAATGTATTCTTCCACCAAAAGCATGTTCTGATTTTACAAAGAAAGCAGCTTTCCTTTATCAGCCAGAAGCTGGAAAATGAGGTTTATTTGATTTTTAATTGAGTTGCTATCAGGTCATTAGAAACACCACTGCTTTAGCAGCAATTCCTCACATCCCCAGCAGCTCCTGACCTGTAGGTGCAGAGGTGAAGCCACATATGATGATCTTGACTTCTGCTTTCTAAAGCCTGGGTGCTGCAGCCCTTTCTGCACCTGGGAGCACCACTGGGGCAGGTGGTGCTGCTCTTGTCCCCATGCTCGCACGTGTCTGCAGTCTAGGAGCACACATGGAGGGTTATTCTGTGGTTGCTGTTGCTTTGTTTTAGGCCTGGGCTGTTTTCAAAGGCAAGTTCAAAGAAGGTGACAAAGCGGAACCGGCCACATGGAAGACGCGGCTGCGCTGCGCTTTGAACAAGAGCCCTGACTTTGAGGAGGTGACAGACAGGTCCCAGCTTGACATCTCTGAGCCCTACAAGGTCTATAGGATCGTGCCAGAGGAGGAACAGAAAAGTGAGTGTCCTGATAAATGACTGACCTTTGTTGGTGCTGTGAGCAATCACGGACTCCTGCTGCTGATCTACATCTGAGCAGAGCTTCCTGGCCAGCCTCTGCTCTTTGTGCCATGGTGCTTTGGTTGTCCTGCTTTCCACATGTCCTCTGTGTCACTATGGTGGCAAGGAAGGGAAGAGGAAGGGCAGGCTTTTATTCTAGCCACCTAAACAGCTGCTGAGGAAACAGGGGATAACTACAGCATCATAGAATCATAGAATAGTTAGGGTTGGAAAGGACATTAAGATCATCTGGTTCCAACCCCCCTGCTGTAAGCATCTATCCTGTAAAGATGCTGCAGAGGCCAGTCCAAATTGGTTCCCCACCTTGATGAAGGTACTTGGGCCCCAACTTTCTGTCCTCCCAATGCCTGCCCTGGGTGGACGTCAGGGAGCTGCAGTCAATCTCATCTCTTGCAGCAGTGATTAGCAGTAGTTACACAGAGAGCAGTTGCTGCTGTGATGCCTGGTGCAGCGTGGGTCACGCTAAAGTATATCTCATTGTGGTTGTGGGGGTGTGTGCTTTTCCTTTTAAGTGTAAAATACATGAGACAAGAAGTGTTGCTGTCAGGAAACCTGTCTTTAGCCTCTTGGCCCCCTCCAGCCACATTCATATGGGGGATGTGCTGCTGCTATGCAAATGGCACTGCAGGTTCCCACCAGCAGCATGACTGTGCTTGGGGTGGCTGGTGGAAAAAGGAGAAGCAGCAGCCCTGGTCTCTGGGGTACTCAGAAAAACCCCAGCCCTCTCCTCTGCTCTAGCTCTGTCTCTGCTACTGGCCAGACTTGATTTGCGTTGCTGTTGGTCACCGTGCAAGGGGGCAATGGCTTGCAAGATGGGTTTTCCAAACACAGCTCTAGAGGGGGCTGCGAGCCCCCCTGAGGTGCTGTTATGTGGCTCTGCTGTCCTGTGGCTCTCGGTTTTGTAACTTTCGTGGGGTGAAGGGTTCCTAAAACCCAGTGGTGATACAAGCAGTAGCTCTGTGTGTATGTGTATGTCCTCACTGCATCCTGGCCTCCCTTTCCAGGCAAAGCAGGCATTGCCAGTGGGAGCAGCCTGAATGATGTGATGGAGATGGACTGCAATTCCTCTGCAATTGATGACCTCATCAAAGAGGTAAGCACTCACTGTGGCTGCAGGGCGACTTGGCTGGAGGTAGACTCATGTCCAACTGCCTTCCTAAAATCCAAACTGCAAAGCACCGAGGAGCAGCACTGGGTATTGCAGCTCATTCATGTGAGCCAGCACTGGGGCATGGCTGTGATGAACAGATCATGCTTTTGATTTGGGTCTGGGCCAGTGAGACCTTTGCTGGTGGATGGAGGCTGTTATGCAGCTCGGTTTCTCCTTCTTGGCCATGTTGCATCAGGCTGCTTCTGCTCAGTAGCCCTTGAGGGTGGTGTTTGAGTGAACAGCCTTAGGAAGGCCAAACTTGATCTTTCTAACAAAATTCACTGGCATCCTGCTGGCGTTGCCATTTGGACCCTCTGTGAGCATTGCCAGTGTTTCAGTGTAAGGCAGTGGCTGCCTGAGGCATTGAACCTGCTCTGATCTCAGTGTCTGCTGTCTCACAGCCTCCCTGTGTAGATGAATACCTGGGGATCATCAAGAGAAGCCCCTCACCACCCCAGGAGACCTGCAGAAACCCCCCAATACCTGACTGGTGGGTGCAGCAGCCCAGCCCTGGTAAGTAGGTGATGTCTGGTGTCTGTCAGGACTGAGATTTACGGCTAAGACAGGAGAAAACATTGATGTGTTATGGACAACAGTCGTATTTAATCTTCCTTATTAATGCTTTAAGTAGTAATTTTGAACACTGTGCTTGGTACCAGGCACCCAACCAGGCATTGCATGTGATTAAATCCACGTAGGAGTATTTATTGTTCTGTAGAAGCTGGGAAGCCTGGAGAGGAAAACCAGGGGCTGGTAAGGGGAGAGGAGGGGATTGGGATTTGAGAACTGGGCATGTAGGCTCAGCTCAGCTTTCTCTCTACCCACAGCAATGCCATTGATGAACGGATACTCCAGCTATGAGCAGCATCATTCAGGTAAGGCAGCTGCACAGCTTGATTGCAGACTGTGGCCATCAGATGCCTCTCTGGGGCTTGGCCTCATGTGTGCAGTGGCTCTGACTCTGCTCCCTGCCTTGGGGGGGGCTTTGCTTTGGGGGTGCTGCACCCTCCTGAATATCCACAGGCTTTGCGTGCAGAGCAGGGTCACATCCTGCCTTGTGTTCTGTGGCCACGGCCTAGGTATGGAGAGTTACCCTGGGATCAACCATGTCTTTGGCAAGGGGAGATCTGCCTGCAGTAAGGGAAGTGTGGAGCAAAGGCAGGAGGAAGGGGTTTGGTATGAGGAGCTTTATCAGCACTGCTACCAGGTTGAGTGCTGGAGATGTCCTCTAGCAAGGTGCTCAGGATTGGAACAGGCTGCCCAGGGCAGTGGTGGAATCACCATGCCTGGAAGTGTTCACAAACCATATAGACGAGGCCCTCGGAGACATGGGTTAGTGGTGGCCTTGGTGGTACTGGGGTAATGGTTGGACTTGATGATCTTGAAAGTCTTTTCCAACCCAGTTGATTCCATGATTCTAAGTAGAAGGTCTTCTCCATCAAGTGAGACTCGCTCCCGTGAAATTCTGCTGCTCTTTCAGGGTTTGTGCATTGCAGCGAAGAGCAGGCAGGGTTCGTCTTCCCCTGATTGTCCATTCCCGTCATTCCCCAGGTTATTCCCAGATGGTGATCAGCTTCTTCTACAGCGGGAGGCTGGTGGGGCACATCACCACGTCGTGCAGTGAGGGCTGCCGGCTCTCGCTCAGCCAGCCCTCCAGCCATGGTGAGAAGCTCTATGCCCCGGATGCCCTGGAGCATGTGAGGTTCCCTTCTGCTGATGCCATCCAGAACGACCGCCAGAAGCAGATCACCAAGAAGCTCTTTGGGCACTTGGAGAGGGGTGTCCTGCTGCACAGCAACAAGCAGGGCATCTTCATCAAGAGGCTGTGCCAGGGAAGGGTCTTCTGGAGTGGGAACACCATGGTCTACAAGGACAGGCCCAACAAGCTGGACCGGGATGAGGTGGTGAAGATATTTGATACCAACTCATTCTTCAGAGGTTTGTAGGAGCATTCCCATCTTTATCCACTTGGGAGGGTTGGAAGGGAGCCTTGGAGCACTTTGAAGTCATCTGTGCCCATCACTGGTGGGTTACCCAAGTGTTCTGAATGAGTAGATGATGCTACAAGACCTAGGAAGGAATAATCTGATGTTTTGTGTCGCTTGGCAAATGCATCCCAATTGGAGGCTTTGCACAACAAAGCACCTTCTCTTGAGCCCGCAGCTTTCTTCTGTGGCAGGGTGCTTGGTCCCAGGGCTGTGTAGCAAAGGCTGGCAGACAGCTTCCAGCTGTTCCTCTCTCCTTGCAGAGCTGCAGCAGTATTACAACAACCAGGGCCGCTTCCCGGACAGCAGAGTCATGCTGTGCTTTGGAGAGGAGTTCCCAGATGCAGTGCCGCTGCGGTCTAAGCTCATCCTTGTCCAGGTATGGAGGGCTGCCCTTTGGAGCTCTGATGCTGGATTTCCCACCTCGCCTGGACCATATTGCCTTTTCTTCCCTTCCACAAGTAGGGCTCTAGCTTCATCCCCCAGAGCCACGGGTCATTTGGGTGCCTGAATTGATGGGGTGGTGTGGCATGAGTATCTGCATATCCACAGCCTCCCGAGAGGTGCTTGGGCTGTTGCTTGTCAGACTCCTTGATCTGGGTAGATCATGTTTGCAAACAAAGGTCCCAAATAGAAAAATCTTTCTTTGAAGTGCTAGGAAATGCATTCTCTTCCTTCTGTTCCTGCCTTTTGGCACTGGGACCTCTGCCCTCCCGTTTGGGAAATGGTAGAATAAAACCCTGGTATGGTTAAGGGAAAGCTTCAAGCTGATCAGCCAACAGATATGGTGAACAACCATGGTGGACAGCAGTGGGGTTGGGAAACCTTCAATAGAGTGAAGGAGGAGATGGGATGGGAGGGGCAGTCCCCATGGCTCTGGCCAGATAGTTCTCCCTGGAGAAGCTGGAACAATTCTGGGACGTCAAAGCCTTGGGGCAATGACAAAGGTTGTTTCTGGAGCCTGCACCCAGTGTTGGGTTCCCCTTGGGCCAGCAAGGCTGTGGCAGCAGGGACGTGGCAGGGGGGCACAGGGAGGGTGCTGCGTCTGCCCTTGAGCAAACAGACCCACCGAGCCTGTGAGGTCCTGATTTCACAAGTTCAGAGACTCGTCCTATGCCTCCTGCACAACCTTCTGCCTCGGTCACCACCTCCTGCTTTGTGTGTCTGCACCAGCACTTTGCATGTGCTGTGTCCTACCTCCCTATAGCTCTGCTCGGGGAGGAGCTCTTGTGACCGCTCCTATTCTAGATGTATTTGTGCCAAGGTGGCTTGTGGAGTTGGACCTGTTGGCCTGTCTGGACCTGGATACCCATGTCTGGTGGCACAACGACTCTGCTGTATCTCTCCCATCCCATACTCTACTGCTTGGGCTGGTGTGGGGGGACAGCATCAGTGGGAGATGCCCAAAGAGGTTCTTCTTCATTTAGTGTCTTCATGAGTTCTCTTGTGGTCTTCATGACTTCTTCTTGTGCAGGTGGAGCAGCTGCGTGTCAGGCAGGTGGTGGAGGAGGCTGGGAAGAGCTGCAGCAGCAGCCCCGTGCTCCCCATAGCTGATGAGACGCAGCACGACCAAGTGTACAGGATCTTCCAGGACATCTGTGCGACACACCAGCGGCCGCTCTTCAGAGAAAACCAGCAGATTGCTGTCTGAGCCTCCTTCTTTGCAGTTGTAGTGTGGTGGTTTGGAGTGATACAGACCCAGTCGGGTCCTCTTAGTTCCTAAATTCCCCTCCTGGAAAGTTGGCTTTTGTCCTTTGCTGTTTCCAATGCAGAGCCTATAAATACAGCAGTAAAAATTGCTGTGAGACAGTAGGTTGGATGCTCAGCATCCATCCTGCCAACATGATCTTCACTGATAGAAATGACTTGTACCCAGCAGGGTAGTCCCAGTACTGTTGCCTATAGCTAATGGCAGGGGGGAGGAGGGAGTGGCTGTGCCAGGGTAGGCTTTGCTTTGTGTTGTCTTTGTTCATGGCCAGTCAAGCAGATCCAGAAATTAACAGCTATAACGCCCTGCTCCAGTGGTCTGCAGCTCAGGCCTTGCTGAGAATAGCAATTTGGTAGGAGGCAACTCTTGGAAAAGCCTTCAGATGCTCAAATATAGGAAATTCTTTCCATAAATCAGCTTTTTCCACCCAAAGGCTCATGCCGATAGAAGCCAGGGGATACCTTCCAAGGAGAACCTTCTCAAATCCTTCTTTATTTTTGCTATCTGTAATGCCAAAGTATTTTGAGATTTGGAAATGGGGAGATTATATATGTAAATGTTGAACATAAGAATTTAGGAATCCTAATTTTTTCCTAACCAGAGACAGAGTTTATATAAATATTATATATCTTTTATTTTCAAGATCACAGCATAGTGTGAATAGTTTGGCTTCACCCTCCCAAACGCATGTGTTAGTCTCTCCCAAGCATGACCAGGCAGTGGCACCCATGTGTAAATCCTCATTAACATCCTTTGTGGGTTGACACAAAGCATGTTCATGCAGCTGACACAAACCAGGACTGTGCATGTGTACGTGCTACAAAGCTGCCTATTTATTTTATGCCTGAGGTTTACTGAATTTTTTTGTATTTTTTTATCCCCCTGCAATTAAAGTGCTGTATTTTGTATCTCTCTTGCAATGTGGTTCTTGGTTGTGATGAGTGGGAGCTCAAATCTGATCGGGGGAGTCTGGTATCTCTGACTTGCTCCTGCCCTGGTCATCCCTATAGTAAGTAGGGTCTGTGTTAAGCCTTTGCTGTCACCTCCCTCCTGCTCCATAAACTGCCTGGCTTCATCTCTGGGGCAGGAGGGAAAGGAGCCAAAATGCTGTGATGCAACGGAGGGAGGTAAAGGGTGTCACTTGTAGAGCCTTCATTGCAGGGGTGTGAGGATGGATCCCTGCTCATCCTCCACTGCCCTGAGCTGGGTGATGGAGACAGTTATTTGTGGTTCTTCTCCCATTATTGCCTGTTTGAGTATTTCCCCACTGTCCTTTCCATCCAGCTTTCTCACAAGGCCTGGTTTAATGGGGATGGTGGTGTCTGGGGAGAATCAAGAGCAAAAAGGGAGTCATACCACTGTTGAATGAAGTCAGTGTTGCAGCAGGGGAGGCAGAGCATCTGCACCCTCACCTGCCTTCACATCAAGGCTGTGTTAGGAGCAACAAATCAGGAGGCTCTGGAAGGGCTGTGAGGACCAGGTTTGATGTGTCCCCTTGCCCCCTGCAAAGGACAAACATGAACTCTGGCTCCTTCCCCATAGCAGGCTGTGCCATCTGCTCTGGGTTAGCCTTGCTAAAGGGTGCAGGCATGGAGGTACCAGTCCTCATGGGGTGACACTGGTACCCAAGGTACTGGGGGATGTAGGCGCTCGTGAAGGCAGCTGGAGGCTGAGTCTCCTTAGGAGATGGTTGCAAAGCTGCTGTCCCTGCTTGGGTGAGACCTTCCCAAGTGTGAGTGTGTGGTGAGGGCGCATTTAAGATGACTTGCACACCTTGACTTGGGGTGAGTTGACAAGCTCAGTCCTGCCAGGAAGTGGTTCTGGCTGCAGGATTGCCAAGTGGCTGGAATGAGCAACTCAGTCTTCCCAGTGAAGCTCAGCTCTTGTGGGACTTGAAGCTGACCCCCCTGCATCCCTCCAGGGTAAACCCCTGAAGTTTACAGTCCCAAAAAGGAGTAAGTACACAGCAAGACCCACCATTTACAGCAACTAAAAGGTGTTCTGAAGTGGAAGACTCAGCTGAAGCTTTACGGTTATACATTAGGGTTTAGGGGAGCCCTGCACCACAAGGTGTTTATGCAGTGAGCACCCTTCTCTATAGCTAATGTGTGCTCTGTGCCCCAAACATGTTGGTGGGATGCTCGTAGTTCTGCCTGTGCCCTTGTGCATGTCCATTGCAGGCATTACAGTGACTGGCTTTGTGCTTGTGAGTGGAGATGGTGCAGACCAAGATTTCTGAGGATGCACCAGGACACTAAGGGCAATAAGTGCCCAGCTTCTGTAAACTCTTATAGGATGATTGGTCATGGAGATGGCACCTTGTAGGTTCACCATCAACATTCACCCCCAGCCTTTCCCTGCTCCTGAGGACCATCACAGTGTTCCCCATGGGGTTTGATCCTGTCCCAGTCCTTGGTGCTCCTTCAGAGCATGAGAAAGACTCACCCCACCATGGGTAAGATGCTTGGCAGGGTGCGGTGATAACCAGGACCTGCTGCAGTCTGTGCTGGAATAGCATGTGCCTGCCTGTGAAGCACATGATGGGCTCAGGCTGGGACACCATAAATGCCACTTGTGGTTTCCCCATATGTGCTGGTGTAAGTTCTTCCTCAGAAACCACCGTCTTGAGCTCGCCTGGAGCCACCTGCTGCATCCTCAGGGCTCTTTCGATTTGCACCTCAAGACCACGAAGCAGCAGCAGGGAGTGCAGGTACCTTCTGTTGGATGCGGCTGCACTGTTTATTTTTGGTGTTACCATTGTGTCTTAGAGCACAGAGCTCAGCCTGGGTCCCTCCTGTGCCTCGCTGCATAAAACCATCAGCACAGCTAGCATCCCAAACAGAGTCCAAACATGTCCAAGAGGAGATGGGAAGGAAACCATGGCACAGGATCATGTGGCAGAGGTGGGATGCAGGAAGGATAACATAGTGGGGTCCATGACTGTGGGCAGGAGTCCCCTTGTCTACTCAGAGCTCAGGTAGGACTTGCAGTGTTGGGCTTGTGCTTAACCCTGAAGCCCAAGCTGGATTTCCAGCATGAGAGAAGCCTTCAAGGCTGATGCTTGCTCACAAAGGACCAGATATTCAGACAGGAGCAGGTTTGAGACAACTGTGTCAGATTGCACACACGGATGCTCTGGCCCAGACTTTGTCAAAGCCAGGAGGAATTTCTCCACCTCTTGTGCTTTTCCTTGCCCAGGCAGGCAGGACACTGCTGGCTCCATCAGCTTGGCTGGGGATCTGGTGCTGGTGGTGTCTGGGAGCATCCTGACCCCATCCCTGCACGTCGCCTGGCGCCGGGTGAGCTGCGTGGTGCAGCTGTGTCAAGTCTCAGTGGTTTTGTGTGACTGGGACTCACTTTCGTTGGTTTCTGTTCACTTGGGTTCTTCTCTATCACCTCATTGAAGTGAAACCTTGTGCCTGGTGTTGGCACTTCTTCATCAATGAGTTCTTCATCACTTCTTCAACAGCCAATGACTGTTGGCAAGTCTGAACAGTGTCCTGTGTCTTCATCTGGGGGTCCTGTCCCCAAATCCTGGGGATGCACACAGCATCTATGGCACCGTCTGCATCCTCTCCACTTAATGATCCTCACCAAGGTAGTAAGAATGAGAAGCTCAGAGGCTGTCCTCCCCAGAATGCACGCTGCTTGTCCAAATGTGGTTTCCTACACCTTGAGCATGTATTTGAGTTGGAGCAGCAACACCATTAAACTCCTGCCCGATGCAGAGATATTTCCTTGCTTCCTGGGGAGGCCAAGCCAGGTACCAGGTCCTGCCCCTCTGGATCGGGCCGCAATCCCTGAGGACATGGGAAGGTACTTTTTGGGAGATGCTTGTAATAAACTCCTGCCTTCAGGAGCAGAAGGGCAGAGCAAAAGTTTCACATGGGAATGAGGGAGGATCTTGGTTTCCATGGAGGAAGAGCAACCTTTACTTGCAGGAGATACATGGTTCTCCTCAAGCATGTTTGGGAAGGAGCAGTGTGCTCACCCCACCCTTGTATCAGCCAGCAGAGAAGGGTGGACCAGAGCAGCAAAATGGGGGAATTTTCTATTGATCCCTTCTCTAAGGTCTTTCAACATGGAGACATCTGCTCCATGGTGCCAATGGAACGCTTTGATTTCTGGGTGCCGCAACGGACGTGATAAACACTGCAGCCCCCACCTGATGTTTTGCTTACTGACTTGGGGTGTGATTTGGGTTCAAAGCCAACCTTTCTTCTGAGGTTTGTCATGACTCAAGGCAGTTAGTAAAGCATTGTCCTTGGGAGAAAATGGGCCTGGTTATATGCTGCAGCGTTACCAGTCTTGGTCATTCTTCGATAGTTTCCCATGACATGCCCTTCAACAAATGCAAAAAGGATCACTGAGTGTGGCTTCAGGAGCAGAATTTAGTGCCTTTGAGGGCAACCAGTGTCTACCCATCCCTCCTACACACTTGAAATACAGAGTGAGGAGTTACCTGGTGACAAATGTGCACGGAGAACAAGCTTGCTGGGCTGGGGAGAAGGAAGGTGAGGTTTGGCTTAGCTAAAACTACTAATATTTAGCCCATCTCAACCTGGAGAAAGAGGAAAAGCTCTGCAGATACCTCCATCCATCTGTGGGGGCCGAGTGTTCTGCAGAGAGAGATGACCACAGGTCCCAGCTCACAGTTGAACTGCTCAGGAATACAACATACACCAGCTACAGCTGCTTCCTCCAACCTGCTGCTGCTTGGCCCCCATAGGCGTTAGAAAACAAACAGTCACTTTTTATTTCTAGACACCAGGCTTTCCAGCACCGATTGCTCAATGCCCCATTTCAGCACAGCAGCCTGTCCACGGCGAGCATCTCTGGGCTCTTCCTCTGAGCGTGTTGTAATATGGGAAGCAACCTCCTTTGCATGGTCACCACTGGCAGGACATCTCCTTTGGGAAGGCGGGAGAGAGGTATGGGAGCTT